ATGGCACAAGAACCTTTGCCAGAGATTAAACAATAGAGTTCCCACTTCAAAGAAAATGATTCAATTATTAAGATGATTTGGGGTCATCGTTTGGTATAGATTATGTTTTCAGTTTCAGATTATAAATTGTTAAATTACAATCTATTAAGATTATAATTTTTTTATGTTTGAGTACCAAAACTAAATATAAACTAACTTGTTTTGTTTGGGAAATGTAGAAATATTGTTTTACATAGTAAATCATAGAAAAGTGGGATGAAGTTATTTGTTTATATTATAATTATTTTGATTGTTTTTACACTATTTTTTTAAATATACATTTTTTAATATTCACCATCATATATATTTTTAAAGTTTTTAATATTGTAATATAAAGGATACAAAATATATTAAAATAAAATACAGTATAAAAACCAATATCAATATTAAAAAACAACATCAAATACAAATAAATATAAGTTGATAAACTTGAATTATACAATTCATAAAATAAATAATATACATGTGTTCAGAAAATATATTATCCATGTGTTCAGCAAGATCATCATCATCATTGATAGTATCATCATTAACATTTGGTATATCACAATCATAATCGCTGAGAAGATATACACATATATGACTTAGTAGAAACTATTTATAAATATCATTCTCCTTCCATCCTCTATGCTTCATTTGTAATATGATCTAAACATATAGCCGTACAGGGTCATTTGTAAGAAATTTTGGGTCACATATGTAACGTTTAAATGTGTTTATGGTCATTATTTTATTAGCCAAATTAAAGTGATCTATTTCGAGTAAGGTTTACGGCTATAGACATAATTATCATGAAAATTATTGTGTAGATACCAAATATCTTATTTCTATTTCTATGATGGGCAAAATAAGAAATAAGAAATGCAAAATGCATCATCCTTCATGAAAGGGAATGCATGTCTTATAAATAGGGGTTATGGTCCTCAATTATGACCACAACAACACAACCACAAAATCACTATTTTCTTCATCCGATTAGAGGAGAAACTAAGGCTAAAGGTGGTCTACAATTGGAAGACCAACAAACCTACATGTTCTACTATGAACATACATGCATTTACATACAAGACAAGAGACATGAAGTTTGTGAATAGATGACTAAGAATGATATAAAATTTATTCTCCATATTCTATATGAATATTAAGGTACGTTTCCGCTTAAGTTCTAGTTTCTATATACATTTATTTTTGATGATATAACATGAAATATCTTGGTTATGTATTATGTATCTTTAGTATAAATAAAACTCTCACACCATATCATAAAATCTATTCGAAATTTTAATTTTTCCAACATAGGAAATTTACAGCTAATAAAACAATTGTGAAGCTGAGGACAAACAAAAATCAGTATAGTCAGCAGTAAATTGATCTTTTAATTAATTATCATTACAAATCATTATTATAGAATTCCTCCTTTCCTTTTCTTAGTAGAAAATTTCATCACCAAACTCATAAAGTTGATTCCCAAACATATGAAATCAAAACTAAGTCCTAGATCAAAAAACAAAAGCTCAAAAAAACACTCCTAACCAAAAATCAACCAAATTCAAGAGAACTCACGGGGAAGTTATGTTTTATTACATAGTTTGACAATTTCATTAGATGGAGCTTTTATACTTGCAATTATAGTGGAGATTTGAGGAGATGCGAGAAATAAAGAAATAGTGAGAAATAAAGAAAGTAAAACAATACCAGATAGTGATTTTGCTATGGAGATGTGAGGATGACGAGGTGGAGATGGATCAGCGTCAGTGAGATTGTGGTTTCAGAATTTAGGTTTAAATTTTCTCCCTTTTGGAAGGGAGTAGAGATGGATGAAAATGAGAGTTATTGGGAGTTATTGAGTTTGGTGGTGATAGAGAGGGAGAAAAATGAAAGTTATAAAGTTTGGTAGTGATGATGTGAATAGTTGTGGAATTTGGTGTAAGAGTAAAAAGGAGAAAGGATATAAAGTTGTGATGAGGTAAAGTGGAAAGTGGATAGATTAAAAAAGAAACTAACCAAAAATAAGGAAGATTTGATTGGCTTTGTATTGGCTTTTAAAAATTAGTAATCACAAAAGTAAATTTTTATGAGACAAGCACACCCAATACATAATTATAGACAAGACATCTATAGATAAGCCAATATTGCCTCTTGGTCATCATGAAGTTCCTTTGTAGGTTGTCACGTTAGGAATACAACCATTTAACTATCCACTGGAGCATCCAAATCTTCATGCAATAGACATTTGTCAGGCAAAAAAGAAACATAATTGTTCAAAAACAATATTTGTATAAAAAATATTTTATGATAAAAAAATTGAATTTTCGAAGATTTGATTTCATCAAAGTTGATCAACAAATAAATTAAAGATTTGAAAATGTGTATTTTGGATCAAATCATATTAATATAATTAGGATGCATTAATTATCTTGATAAATTAAATCTTTAAGGATTCAATAAAAAATATACAATGATTGCATCAAATCAAATTGACTAAGTTGCAATAGAAATAAGATAAGTATTTCATTTTTATATTAATTTTCATTTTTTAAATAAATAATAATATTTTTAAGAAGGTTAATAATCCTCTAATATGTCTTATCAAAATAATAATAATAATAAGATTATGTATTAAGTATCTTTTTTTATATTAAAAATATCACTTCTACCTAATGCAATAATCTTAAGATGATTTAAAATTACTAAAATAATTTTTCCAAATAAATGGATTTCGGTTAATTTTATTTTTTTGATGGCCAAATATTTAGTTTTTTCCTCACTATGGAGTATCATGTAACACTCTGAATTTTAGTCTTTGAAATTATAGTATCAGTCCTGGAAGCCTCGCTTGAGCGAGAGATTCTCGCCTGAGAGAGAAAGGATCACCTGGGAGGGTGACATCCTGGGCTATACTGGAAGATTCTCGCCTGAGCGAGAGTTGCCTCGCTTGGGCGAGAAATGGCAAGCTGGGGCTGTTGACACTGTGAGATTCTCGCCTGAGCGAGAATCCCTCGCTTGAGCGAGAGGAAGCCTGTTGGGACTGTGAGATTCTTGCTTGAGCGAGAATCCCTCGCTTGAGCGAGAATCCCTCGCTTGAGCGAGAATCCCTCGCTTGAGCGAGAGGGTCAGATCTGAGTTTTTAAAATAGGCGGGATTTTCTCGCCTGAGCGAAAAACGGCTCGCTTGAGCGAGAACCCGACGACTGTTCTTTAAAATAGGAACCCCAAACACATTTTAGGGTTAGAACTTTGAAGAGAAGAGAGAGAAGAGAGCTTTTCAAGAGCAAGGAGCCTTAGGACTCATCTTAGAGCTTGAGAAGAGGTAAACCATTTGCTTCTAACTCTTCTTCTTCCTCTCTAACTTGTTTTGGGTATGTTGGATCTATTTTCAAAACATGAGAAACCATGGAAACTCACCGTTTAGAGTTATGGTTCGTTTTATGTTATTTTTCTCTTGTAAACTCTTGGTTTAGAGTTGATATTTGATGAATGGAAAGGTTTTGTGGGATATTCATGAAAACCCCAAAAATCCCCAAAATGAGAATATGAGTATAAAGAGAAAGAGATGAAATGTTAGATGTGGATGATGAGTTTATGGTTTGATGTTGATATATGAGATAAACATGTATGTTTCGATATTTGGAAACTTGTATTGAAGTAGTTTTAGAAATATTGAAAATACATGAATCCCTTAAGTATTTGATGATGAAATACGAGTTATTTATGTGTTATTTTGAATAAATGTCTGACATTGTTGTTATTGGTGATAATGAGGAAAGATCCTAAGGTTGGAGGAAATCGCGGAGGAGACTTTTAAGTTACTCGGAACTGATCCCCAACGCTCACCAAGGTAAGGGATAAGCGTCTCTAAAATCATACTCGCTGTTATGAATGAGGTATGTGAAAGAGGTAAAAGGTTTGTAAGGATAAGTCTTTAACTTATGCCCTGTGATAGAAAAGGTGAATTTTCTGATGTGAATAATGAAATGAATCGTAAGTCACTTAGTTGTTATAAACATATATGGGTATGTTTGTAACAACGAGGAGTGGATTTACCTTTTATGTATTGGTAGAGTACCAATGGGAATGATACCCGGAATAATGAAATGAATCGTAAGTCACTTGGTTGTTGTAAACATATATGGGTATGTTTGTAACAACGGGAAGTGGATTTACCGTTTATGTATTGGTGGGGGTGCCAATGGAAATAAAACATATTTTTAGCCGACCGTGAATGGTTAGCGACTTTGGCTCAAGTTATGCAGCAAAGTAAAATGAAATTGCGACAAAGGATTTATAAGAAAAATTGCCTACCCGAAGTGGTAGTGGATCATTAAGGGAAATTGCCTACCCGAAGTGGTAGTGGATCATTAAGGGAAATTGCCTACCCGAAGTGGTAGTGGATCATTAAGGGAAATTGCCTACCCGAAGTGGTAGTGGATCAATAAGGGAAATTGTCTACCCGAAGTGGTAGTGGATCATTAAAGGAAATTACCTACCCGAAGTGGTAGTGGATCATTGAGGAATTACCCACCCAATGTGGTAGCGGATTATCAGAGTAGTGTGAACGACCGGATGTGATAAAGAGTAAGCTTGATGGCGAGAATAAGCAATAGGACAAAAGTATTCGAGATAAACGAATATGCATGCTATAGGATATATAGTATGAGATATATATTCTATAGGGTGAATATGGATGATAAAGTGGAAGATGTGAACAATGAAAGTCATATGCATGTTATAGGGTATATAGTATGGGATATATATTCTATAAGATGAATATGAAGGATGAGAACTGAGAATGTCACAATGAAAGTCGTATGCATGCTATAGAATATATAGTATGAGATATATATTCTATAGGGTGGATATGAATGGTGAGAAATATGAGGTTTCGAAAGAACGTAGTAGGCGTACTATAAAATATATATTATGGAATATATATACTATAGGACGAATATGAATAACGTGGAAATGAAAGAAAGAATATATGAACCTTTACATTTACTTATTTGTGGTTATGATTTATACCAATGCTTAATTGTATTTGAATGTGGATTATCATGTGATGTCAGTTTTTGGACTAATGACTTACTCCCTGTGTTTTGTGTGTTGTTTATGATAATCTCATTGTAGGTAAATGAAGGATTTTGAGGAGGAAGCTCACTTAGGGAGATTTTGTGTTTATCCGTTTGATTGTCTTTGTTGCTACTTGACATTGTAGTTGAATTGATGACATTTTGGGACAAATGTAATCTGATTAGGATAATACGGAGATTTGTAATTCTGGACTTTATAACTCCGGGAAACTCATAACTGGTTGTATGTGCTAATTGCAAATTGAATGAATTATGTTTTTCCGCAACATAACTTTGTATGATAATACAATAGGGTAAAAAGTATTTTCAAAGAGTGTTTCATGAGAGTCTTTAAGTAAGGTGATAGATGTATGTAAGAGAGGATTAAAATAAATGAAAAAAAAAAATTCAAGGGAAGAATTTGGGTCCTTACATATCACAATAATATTTGGGCTTTTAAAAATTAGTAATCACAAAAGTAAATTTTTATGGTCAGAAGTCTAAAATACATTCAATTTGAATTTTTATTTTTTAAATAAATTCAAATTCGAAATTTTTTATTGTTAATGAGGATGAAAATATGGATTTCTTGCATGATTATAAATTACATTTTTCATTTAGACATATGTTGTTAACTACACACACGATTAAAAATTACCATTTTCATTTAGACACATGTTAAATATAACATTATACATGATTAAAAATTACCTTTTTATTTAGACATGTGTTGTTAAATAGAATAATTACACATGATTTTATTGTCAAAATTAATCTTATGACCACATGAAGAAATTTGGTAAATTAATAGATGATAAATCTTCTCATATTTTATATTTAATTGATAGTCAAAGTTTAGGTAAAATATTATTTACCATTGATTTTAAATAATTATACGGATAACATTATATATATGACAAATGGTATAAGGAATAGAGGAGAAAATATTGGAAAAAGAGCTGAGTGGGAGAACTGATTGGCTACAGGCATGCCCACGCTGCTCACCGTGAGCCCACGTCCTGGCCAAACCATATCAGTTCGATCAGCATACTTCCCATATTCCCATCGTTGACTTCGGACTGCCCAATCAAAGGCGAAAACTAGCGCATGTTAACTGCACCCCGTCGCATCGAATCATTCGCCCCTTTGAGAGCGAGTGATCCCCTACATACGACCTCAGTCTTTTTTCGTGCACCTTCCAGTACATTACTGCCACGCATCCAGTCCATAGAAAGCGACCAATATTATTTCGACGGTGAAATCTAACCTGCGAACTGAGAATTGGTTCGTTTCGGTGCGAACTTTATTTTAACCGTTGGATGAGAAAATGCGGTAACCTGTAACCTGTGAACAACTTGTAGGAAGTCGGTTTTGGGGGGTGTAGTTTTAGTTGGGAAGTTGTTTAGGGGTAAACCGACTTCTGTATAGAAGTCGGTATCCCCTAAACCGACTTCTGTGTAGAAGTCGATAGGGGAAAAACCAACATCACTGATTCTCGGTTTAGGTGATACAGACTTCTGTATAGAAGTCGGTTTAGGGGACATGACTCTGGCTCAAACCGACTTCTCAACAGAAGTTACACTGGGCCAAACCGACTTCTGTTGAGAAGTTACTCTGGCCCAAACCGACTTCTCAACAGAAGTTACACTGGGCCAAACCGACTTCTCAACAGAAGTTGCTCTGGCCCAAACCGACTTCTCAACTGAAGTTACACTGGGCCAAACCGACTTCTCAACAGAAGTTGCTCTGGCCCAAACCGAGTTCTGAACAGAAGTTACACTGGGCCAAACCGACTTCTCAACAGAAGTTGCTCTGGCCCAAACCGACTTCTCAACTGAAGTTACACTGGGCCAAACCGACTTCTCAAAAAGATATCCCGGTACCCAGTCACCCATCCAACGACTCAAATGAATTAAAAAATATCGTACGGCTATTATTTCAGTTCGCATTAAAACGAACTAACCTGCAGGTAGCAGGTAGCAGGTTAGTCACAGCCTATTTCGACACGTGTCCTGTTGTTCTTCAAAACCTCCTCACGTTAACACCCTCACTAGTTGTGCAAGTTTCACCCTCTTTAGTGCAATCATGTATATTTTTTATTTTAATCTCTCTTGTATTTAATTTAGCAATACAATGTTGCTTAATAAATAAATAAAAAATTAACTCATCTTCAATAATAGTTTATAAATATTAGTGATGATTATTTGGACATTACTTTAATTTTTAATATAAATAATTGAATATAATAGTTTGTGGAATAAATAACCAACAAATAATTAGTTAATAAAAATAATATTTTTTGTAACCAACACCTAACCAATTTTTTTTATGTCCAAATAATCATTAATAGTATTTATAAATTATTATTGAAGATAAGTTAAGTTTTTATTTATTTATTAAACAACATTGTATTGCTAAATTGAATACAAGAGATATTAAAATAAAAAATACACTGATTGCACTAAAGATGGTTAAACTTGCACAACTAGTGAGGGTGTTAGCTTGCGGAGGTTTTGAAGAACAACAAGACACGTGGCGGCGGAAGATTGCCACATGCTATGAACTGGACGCGTGGCAGGAATGTATTGGGAGGTGCATGGAAACAAACTATGGTCGTCTATAGGGGGTCACTAGCTATCAAAGGGCGAATGTTTTGGTGCAATGGGGTGCACTTAACAAGCGCTAGGTTTCACCTTCTTAAGATTATTGCATTAGGTAGAAGTGATCTTTTTAATAATAAAAAATATACTTAATGCACAATGTTATTATTATTATTATTATTTTGATATGCTAGAAGTAAGGACATCATTTGATGGTACAATACATAACAATATAAAACATTATATGATTGAGGACCCCGTGTTTGACGACCTCAATCTATGCCTTCGAGGGCCACGTGCTTGACGACCTCGAAGTTATTATTTCCAGGCCCAGTGCCTGACTATTTTATAAAAACTATAATTTTGAGGACCCCCGTGCTTGACGATCTCAAAATTATAAGATTGAAGACCCCCGTGCTTGACGACCTCAATCTATGCCTTCGAGGGACTCATGCTTGACGACCTCGAAGTCATTATTTTCAGGCCCGGTGTCTGACTATTTTATAAAATCCATAATTTTGAGGGTCCCGTGTGTGACGACCTCAAGATTATAAGATTGAGGACCCCCATGCTTGGCGACCTCAATCTATGCCTTCGAGGGCCCGTGCTTGACGACCTCGAAGTCATTATTTCCATGCCCAGTGCTTGACTATTTTATAAAATTCATAATTTTGAGGGTCTCGTGCTTGACGACCTCAAAATTATAAGATTGAGGACCCCCGTGCTTGACGACCTCAATCTATGCCTTCGAGGGCCCTGTGCTTGACGACCTCGAAGCCATTATTTCCAGGCCCATTACCCGACTATTTTATAAAAAAATAATAATTTTGAGGACACTCGTGCTCGACGACCTCAAAATTATAGGATTGATGACCTCGTGCTTAACGACCTCAATTCGTGCCTTCGAGGACCCCTGTGCTTGACGACCTCAAAGTCACTCTTTTAGGCATCGTGCCTGACTATTTTATTAAAACCATAATTTTGAGGGTCCCGTGCTTGACGACCTCAATATTATAGGATTGAGGACCCCGTGTTTGACTACCTCAATCCGTGCGTTCGAGGACCCCCGTGCTTGACGACCTCGAAGTCACTCTTTCAGGCTTCGTGTAACACCCCAAATTTTAAATCTTTAAAATTATAGTATCAGTCATCGAATCCTCGCTTGAGCGAGAGATTCTCGCTTGAGCGAGAGATTCTCGCTTGAGCGAGAGAGGTTCACCTGGGAGGGTGAAATCCTGGGCTATACTGGAGGATTCTCGCCTGAGCGAGAGATGTCTCACCTGGGCGAGAAATGGCATTTGGGGCTGGTTGACACTGTGAGATTCTCGCTTGAGCGAGAGGGTCAGAGTTGAGTTTTTAAAATTGGCGGGATTTTCTCGCTTGAGGGAGAGAAAGCTCGCTTAAGCGAGAACCCGACGAGAACATTAAATGAGGGAAACCCCAAACACATTTGAGGTTAAGAATTGAAGAGAGGTGAGATAAGAGAGCATTCCCAAGGTCTAGGAGCTTTGATTCTTGTTCAAGAGCTTGAGAAGAGGTAAAATTCTCTATCCTAACTCTCTTCTTCCCTTGAGAACCCATTTTTGGTATTATGGATCTCTTCTCAAAATGTGTAAAACCATGGAAACTCTCTCTTTCGAGTTATGGTTCATTTTATGTCGTTTGTACCTTGTAAACTCTTGGTTTTGAGTTAGTATTCCAAGAATGGAAAGGGGTTTGTGGGTTGACTCATGGAAACCCAAAACCCTAGAGAGAGAAAATGAGGTTAGAGAGGAAAGATGGGTGAAATGCTAGAGGTAGAAGATGAGTTGCTTTACAATGTTAAAATATGAGATGATATGTATGTTTTAGATGGTTGAAAACTCTTAATGAAAGTAGTATAGAACCATTGAGAACATGATAAATATCTTGTACGTTTAAATGATGAAATATAAGTTATTTATTTGTTATTTGGAATGAATGACTAACATTGTGTTATGTGGTGGGAATCAGGAAAGATCCTAAGTTTGGAGGTGGTGCCGGTGGAACTTGCGAAGTCACCAAAACCAAACTTAACACTCACCGAGGTAAGGATAAGTCTTTAATTTATGCATTATGTGGAAAATGCGTGGACTTTCTATTATGGATGATGGATAAAATGTGAATCACTTAATCATTATGAACATATATGGGTATGTTGATAATGGTTAGAAGTGAGTTTAAGGTTTACTTATTGGGGGAGTACCAATGGAAATAAGACTCGGAATAAAGTAATAATTGTAAGTCACTCTGTAGTTACAAGCATATATGTTATGTTGTAATGATGTCGGGTGCATTTATTGACTATTTATTGAGGGAGTACCAATGGAAATAAGACTCGAAACTTATTGGGGGAGTACCAATGGAAATAAGACTCAAAACTTATTGGGGGAGTACCAATGGAAATAAGACTCGAAATATAATGACATAAATGGTAAATCACTTAGTCACTACAAATATATATGAGTATGTTTTTAGTGATGATGGGTGTATTTATGGTTTATGTATTGGTGGAGTGCCAATGAAAATAAAACTCGTTTTAGCCGACCAGAATGGGTTAGCGACTCTAGCTCGAGTTATGTAGCATGGTTTTTCAAAAGTATAGATGACGAAAAAGGTTTTTAAGAGTATTTAAATTATATCACTGTGAAAACTATTAAATGTGGATTAATTGACATTGAGTTTTATTG